AAGGCCTGATCAGCTCCCTTGAAACTCAACAGAAAGATTCCAGTCAGCTTCCATGAGAAGCTGACTGGAAGATTCCAGTCAGCTGCCTTGGACAAATTCAGTCTATTCAATTTTTACAGCAGAGAGTACAGACAGATTTTATTCCCCTCTGACTTGGAGAAGGTGTTAAGATTCGATTTTTAACAGGGTACACCTCTTGACTAGCTGGTGTTTGCTGAGTACAGAACAGTTCTGTTTACCCCCAAAATATTTCAGTAAGCTCAAAAACGTTCACATAGACAAGACAGGAGATCACAGAAGCACGGTGTGATAAGGAAAGTCACTCCCACCAGAAGGACTGAGGCCAGATAGGAAAGGGCTGTACCTAATAAGGGAGCTGGGTGCTTGGGACTCTACTGCATGTAACAAAAGGTGCTTTAACATGCTTACATACAAGAAAAACTATCATCATCAAGAAAGTATGTGGTGGGTATCACTATCCAGGTGAGATTATATTTTCTGTGTACTGCATAAGCTTATAGGAGTCTGCTGCTCCTGGAAACAGTTGCCATATAGAGGGCTGTTTCCCTATTACCTTGTAATTACCTATTACTTGGTCCTTGCTGAGGTAAAGCTTCCATTAACTTGTAAAAGCCTGAGTTAGAGCTGAGTAAAAACAGAATCTACCCAGAATCCCTTTCTATTTTGAAATACTAGAGCAGATTTAACTAACAAAAGAAGTCTACCATACAGTATCTGTTTGCTGTGCAGTTTCTCTGAAGATTACTGTAGTTCAGTTTCAGTAACCCTTTGGCTGTGTCTAGACTGGCCAGGTTTTCCGGAAAATCAGCCGCTTTTCCGGAAAAACTTGCCAGCTGTCTACACTGGCCGTTTGAATTTCCGCAAAAGCACTGAATTCCTACTGTAAGAAATCAGTGCTTCTTGCGGAAATACTATGCTGCTCCTGTTCAGGCAAAAGTCCTTTTGCACAAAACTTTTGCACAAAAGGGCCAGTGTAGACAGCTCAGATTTGTTTTCCGCAAAAAAGCCCTGATTGCAAAAATGGAGATCGGGGCTTTTTTGCGCAAAAGTGCGTCTAAATAGGCATGGACGCTTTTCCGCAAAAAGTACTTTTGCGGAAAAGCATCCGTGCCAATCTAGACGCTCTTTTCCGAAAATGCTTTTAACGGAAAACTTTTCCGCTAAAAGCATTTCCGGAAAATCATGCCAATCTAGACGTGTAGCCTTTTAGTATGTAAACTATAGTGCAATAAGATGAAAGAAAGGTGTTCCCCCTGTGCTGAGCTAATATAAGCCACACTGAGGTAATCTCAGCTGTAAATCAGCTGTGGCTTGATATATAAAAGGCTCTGCTGAAAGGGAGGTCCCCAGATCTCTCTACCTTGGTGTAAAAGTGATATCATTGTGTCAAGTATTGTGATACTTAATAAAATCCTTTTCCTTAAAATCTTTTAATGCGATTTTTGAAAACCTGATAAAACCTAAATTCCTCTGCCACAGAAAATGGATCACTCCTAGCTGAATAACCTCAGACTTTTTCTGGAAAGGATAAAAATCAGGTTCTCAACTGCTGTTCCTTGTATGTAATTAAAGAAAGTGAGGAATATTTTTTTATTAACTTGAAACTGTTGTCTCCAAAGGAAAGAATATAGCCAATTTTCTCTTGGAAAACATTACAGCATGATTTATCTAATAATAGGATTACTCAGAAATGCCAGGAACACCCTGCACTGAGCAAGCACAAAACAAAAATGGATCTAGGATTCCTTCTTGGAGAAAAGTGAGGAGAATTCAGTGTTTTAATGGCTGCTTCTAATTACAGTTTAAATTGTGACTGTGAAAAGAGACTTTAAAAAAACTATTGTGGAATTCCACATTTATTGTCTCAGTGACTTCCAAACCAAATTTGCATCATTTATAAATAAATCTGTTTTTTTCCTAATAGCTAGTACTGCAAATTTAGGTTATGTTGATGCTACAGCTGCATAAGTGTACTGCTGCAGCTGTGCCATGGAGCTACTCTATATGCCTGTGGGGCTTTGTCTACACTACCAAGTTATTTTGAAAGATGTTATTTTGAAATAACTCCCAAAATAACTATTTTGAAATAAGCTTATTCCTCTTCACAAGCAGGAGTTATTTTGAAATAGCAAGCCCATTATTTCAAAATAACAGGCTTGGTAGTATGGACACTTGCCTTGTTATTTGGAAATAGGGGGAATTATTTCAAAATAACTCCCAAATGTAGAAATGCCTTAGGAGAGTTTTCCTGCCAGCATAATTAAGCCACCCTCAACCAGTGGTGGCACCTGTGTCAATGGGAGAGTACCTCTTGTCGACATAGTGCTGTCTGCATCCAGGGCTATCCTAACGGGGTGCAGGGCTTGAGGCCACCATCCCCCCCCAGTGCCTCAGGCAGCCCCATCTCTCCTGTCCCCCAACCCTTGCCCCTGCTCTGCCCCCTTACCTCTGAGCAATGCAGTCTAGGGGATTACAGGGCATGGCAGCAGCAGGGTTTGCCTCTTTCCCCACTAACCATGTGGGCAACAGGAACCAGAGTAGCCCAGCAGCCTGTTCTGCCCCACTGCCCTGCCCTCCCAACCCGCTGAGCCTCGCTTCCCCATTGGCGGTGGGAACTAGACTGCCCAGGGTGGGGGGCCCTGCTTCCTGCCGCTGCTGAGAAGCCACATGCAACAGGCCAGGAGAGGACGGGCCACTCTGGCTCCTGCTGTCTGTGTGGTGGTGGAGGGTGACCATTGCTGCTGCTGCCAAACCAGGCCCCTGTATTCCCCCAATCCCTCCCATCCATAGGGTCCCCAAAAGCATGGGGTGTCTGCCCCGATTCATCCTATGGACAAGACAACTCTGTCTGCACCATTGATTTGTTGGTGAAACATAGGTGTGTGTTCTTTTCAAACTCCTGAACGACAAAAGTGCTAATGTAGACAAAACTTTAGTTTATAATCCAAGGGTCTGAATTCACCAAAGTTTACAACTGTGTTACTGATGTGCAAATCAAAATAGATACCAGCTCATTTTCCCAGAAGCTCTGTTGATTCCACAGGGTGAATAGGAGTATGATTTCTTTCTAGATGTGATCTTGAATTCAAACAAGGGGTATATCTGTTAAGTAAGAAGCAATTTTTTGTGTTGGGCCAATGATGTTAATTGAGCAAAACTCCCTCTTAAATCAACTGTAACTTTGCTTGATTAAGGAAGGTAAGATTTTTTTGGCCATTAGTTACTGTTAAGAGTAAAACTGCATTTTCAATGATAATTAAAACAGGATGTTTCTGGGCTATTTAACATGGGTATTTCAGTCTCCTTGAGCCAGCTGTTATTTTGTCTACTGCACTATTAAATCAGTCTCCAAGTCCCTGAAACCCTGACCATTTATCTGAGGAATCTGCAGAGCTGATTCACTAGGACAGTGGTTCTCAAACTGTGGTTGTGAACCCCATAGTAGGTCACAACCAGTGTTCCCTCTAAACTGCGAGGCACCACAACGTCACAGGTGATTAATCAGAGGTTCAGGGCTCCTTGGGCAAAGCTGACTGACTGGGTGGGGCTGATTAAGCTGCCTGGTAGTGCAGCATCACAGGTGATTAGAGGAAACACTTGTCACAACGCTGTTTTAACTGGGTCAGGAGGGCTGACTTGGGGCTCAAGTTTCAGCCCTCTACCTCAGCAAGTCTAAGGGTTTCAGTTCTGTCCCCCAACCCTTCTAGAGCAGCGGGGCTCAGGTTTTGGGCCCCCACCCAGGACAGTGGGGCTCAAGCATGCTCAGGCTTTGGTCCTCATTCCTGGGGTTGTGTAGCAATTCTGGCTGTCAGATGGGGATCATAGTACAATGAAGTTTGAGAAGCGCTGCATGAGAGTTTAGTTAATATTTGTGATGCACTGCTACCACTAAGAGTAGACACTCAGCCATGACCAGGACACCAAAATGTTTTGAGAGACAGCATGGCCCCCACTGGATCTAAAAGTTTTAGTCTTCTAACTAAAAGCTGGAAGCTTAGGCTATGTCTACACTATAATGATCAATTTGCGTACCTTTTTCCGATAGTTTTTTTGGAAGAGGCTTTTCCAAAATTTGGTCCCTCTACGCTGGGCCAGATTTCAGAAAAGCCTCCTCCTTTGGAAGAGCCCTTCTTCCTTGTGGGAGGAGAAAGACGTCTTCCGAAAGAGAGCATCTGCTCTTCTGCAAAAAAAAAAGTAGAAGAGCAGATGCATTCCCTGGACATGGCAGAGTTTTTCCAGGATACCTCTGTTATCCTGGAAAAACCCCGTAGTATAGACACAGCTTTATTTTGGACCATTTACTCCCTGTACAATTTGGACATTCCTATTAATCCTTACTCACATGGGAGCCAGCTTCTAATTTTCCCTGAGGGTGCTCAGTCCCAGAGTGGGAGAAATGCTTGGTTGGTAGGGGCTCCTGAGCAACTACTAATGTTTTGTGGGAGTCTATGCTTACTTATAGTACAAAAGCAAGGAATGTGCTCAGAAAATTAAAGGTAGCAAAATTGAAACTGACCAGTGGCAACATCTACACAATGTACCATTAGCCAGTAGAACTGAATGATGCATAATTTCATCAAGACCTGGCTTACTGGAAGTGGAATAGATGCTGTTACATTTTTATTTTGGTTTGTTTTTGCTTTTTTAATTCTTTTTGAGTTAAAGACATAAATTCTTGTGCTTCAGAGTATAAGCCAGCCTTTCTGGGTACACTGTTTGGGACTTCTCTATATCAACTTTCTTGCATCTTCCTCTGAGTCATCAGAGATAGGATATTGACTGACTGGAACCAAAGATCTGCTCTGGTATAGCATGTGCTATGTTATTACTTAGTAGTATTTGTGAGAGTAGAAAATCTATGAAGTTGGAATATAAGAATGAGATTTTCAGTGAGAGGTTTTCTTAACTAAAACAAGTTTTTTCTATGGTTTATGTTTCTTAATACAGTAAGTTCCTCTCAGGGAGAAAGATCTACTCACAGTCCAGAATTACTTGTGCTGCTCGGTAGAGTTGCAGTCCCTGGAGAAGTTCCAGTAGCTGTTGAACTGTTGCAAGCCTCACTCCCCACCACCACATGAGCTCTCTCGTTATGCTGATTCCTGTCTTCTCCATGCACTTGATTTTGCGCAGCTCTGTCTGATCAGTTATCACATAGGAGGCTAAAGGTAAAGAAGGGATATTTCTCTTATAAAAAGTGTAAGAAACAAACACAGGCAGGGGAAGTCCACATCTATTGTATATGTTCATTTAGTTTACATTTGCAGAACAATTAAAAAATAGGTGCACAATAAGAGATGATACTGCAAATCTAAAGAAAAATCATTCCCTAGAATAAGAGGTATTCTAAATGGTTTGCAAAAATGAAAACATTTCTTTAAATTTTGAGAGACTCACAAAAACAAATTGGCAAAATTCCTCACACTTTTGTCCATATTTTCAATGTAACTTTCAGGAACCCTGATATTTTGCACCAAAATGAGACCAAATTAATGTTTTGGTGTGAGGCCACTGAAATTAATGTGCTAAATTCAGCAGTGAATTTGGCCCTACCTACACTAGGAAATACCATTTTTTTAGTATTAATTTTCATTGAACCAGAGTTGTATTACACTTTAGTGGCAAGTGTAAACAAGGACAAACCAGAGTTAGTGGAAGGGTCAGCTAAATCTATAGGAAAAATGGTAGTTCTCTAGTGAACACAAGACTTAAGTGAGATTACAGGGAATCTAATGGTATGTCTACACTACAGCTGATACAGCTACGAAGCCACAGTTGTATCATTGTAGTGTCAAAGTAGACACTTCGTACATTGATGGAAAGGATTTTTCTGTTGGTGTAGTTAATCCATATCTACGAGAGGCAGCAGGTAGATCACCAGAAGACATTTTCCCCAGCCCTGAGTAGGGATGTAAGACTATGTCTAGACTACGCCCAAGTTCCGAAAGAGGATATGCAAATTCTGCATATCCTCAAAAGCAAAGCTTTCGAAAATGAAAGTAGTCGGGATGCGTTTTTTTCCCCAACAACCCCCCCGCGCCTGTTCCAAAAGCTGCTCTTCCTCAAAATATGAGGTTTACGTGGCTTTTCGAAAAAGGGGTGGGTTGCCAAAAAAAAAAAAATGTCCCGACTACTTTCACTTTCAAAAGCTCTGCTTTCGAAAGTGATGTCAGAAGACGATATACAAATTCCCACGGAATTTGCATATCCTCTTTCGGAACTTCAACGTAGTCTACACATAGCCCTAAGAGTATAACTGTTTAAAGTTATACACTGGCTCCCACCTCTCTGGGAATGGGTCGAGAGCCGGCATACACTAGAAGGACACTAACTGGAGCCCGCAGTGCAGAGTGACAGCCAGGTCCCCGGAAGAGAGGCTTGCAAAAGCCAGCTTCCAGCACACATCGGCTCCTGGCCCAGCTCCCAGGGAGCCAGATGTGCTGCAGCATAAGAACATAAGAATGGTCATATTGGGTCAGACCAAAGGTCCATCTAGCCCAGTAGCCTGTCTGCCGACAGTGGCCAGCACCAGGTGCCCCAGAGGGGGTGGACTGAAGACAATGGTAAAGTGATTTGTCTCATGCCATCCATCTCCAGCCTCTGACAAACAGAGGCCAGAGACACCATTTCTATCCCCTGGCTAACCGCCATGGACATAACCGCCATGAAACTAGCTTCTCTTTAAACTCTATTATAGTCCTAGCCTTCACAGCCTCCTCTGGCAAGGAGTTCCATAGGTTGACTACACGCTGTGTGAAGAAGAACTTTCTTTTATTAGTTTTAAACCTGCTACCCATTAATTTCATTTGGTGTCCTCTAGTTCTTCTATTATGGGAACTAAAAAATAACTTTTCTTTATCATCCCTCTCCACACCACTCATGATTTTATAGACCTCTATCATATCCCCCCTCAGTCTCCTCTTTTCTAAACTGAAAAGTCCCAGTCGCTTTATCCTCTCTTCATATGGGACCAGTTCCAAACCCCTAATCATTTTAGTTGCCCTTTTCTGAACCCTTTCTAAGGCCAAAATATCTTTTTTGAGGTGAGGAGACCACATCTGTACACAGTATTCAAGATGTGGGCGTACCATAGTTTTATACAGGGGCAGTAAGTTATTCTGTGTCTTATTTTCTATCCTTTAATTCCTAACATCCTATTTGCCTTTTTGACTGCCGCTGCACACTGTGTGGAAGTTTTCAGAGAACTATCCACGATAACTCCAAGATCTCTTTCCTGATTTATCATAGCCAAATTAGCCCCCATCATACTGTACGTATAGTTGGGATTATTTTTTCCAATGTGCATTACTTTACACTTATCCACATTAAATGTCATATGCCACTTTGTTGCCCAATCACTCAGTTTGGTGAGATCTTCTTGGAGTCCCTCACAGTCTGCTTCTGTCTTGACTATCCTAAACAGTTTGGTATCATCCACAAACTTTACCACCTCACTGCTTACCCCTTTCTCCAGATCATTTATGAATAAGTTGAACAGGATTGGTCCCAGGACTGACCCTTGAGGGACACCACTAGTTACCCCTCTCCATTCTGAAAATTTACCATTTATTCCCACCCTTTGTTTCCTGTCTTTTAACCAGTTCTCAATCCATGAAAGGACCGTCCCTCTTATCCCATGACAATGTAATTTACACAAGAGCCTTTGGTGAGGGACCCTGTCAAAGGCTCTCTGAAAATCTAAGAATACTATATCTATTGGATCCCCCTTGTCTGCATGTTTGTTAACCTCTTCAAAGAACTCTAAGGCTGTGTATACATTGGCAAGATTTTGAACAAAGGCAGTCGCTTTTGCGCAAAAACTTGCCGCCTGTCTACACTGGCCGCGAGTTCTTGCGCAAGAACACTGACGTTCTAATGTAAGAAATCAGTGCTTCTTGCACAAGAACTATGACGCTCCTGCTCAGGAATAAGCCTTCTTGCGCAAGTGTTCTTGCACAAGAGGCCAGTGTAGACAGGCAACATTAATTTCTTGTGCAAGAAAGCCTGATGGCTAAAATGGCCATCGGAGCTTTCTTACGCAAGAAAGCATCTACACTGGCATGGATGCTTTTGCGCAAAAGCACATCTCTTGCGCAAAAGCACATGCCAGTATAGACGCTCTCTTGTGCAAATACTTTTAACGCTAAAACTTTTGCGTTAAAAGTAATTGTGCAAAATCTTGCCAATGTAGACGTAGCCTAATAGTTTAGTAAGACATGATTTCCCTTTACAGAAACCATGTTGACTTTTTCCCAACAAATTATGTTCTTCTATGTGCCTGACAATTTTATTCTTTACTATTGTTTCGATTAATTTACCCGGTACTGAAGTTAGACTTACCGGTCTGTAATTGCCAGGATCGCCTCTCGAGCCCTTTTTAAATATTGGTGTCACGTTACCTATCTTCCAGTCATTAGGTACGGAAGCTGATTTAAAGGATAGGTAACAAACCACAGATAATTGTTCTGCAATTTCCCATTTGAGTTCTTTTCAAACCCTTGGATGAATGCCATCCAGTCCCGGTGATTTGTTAACATTAAGTTTTTCTATTTGTTCCAAAATCACCTCTAAATGACACTTCAATCCAGGACAGTTCCTCAGATTCATGACCCACAAAGGACAGTGCATATTTGGGAATCTCCCTAACATCCTCAGCCACGAAGACTGAAGCAAAGAAATCATTTAGTTTCTCCGCAATGGCTATATCGTCCTTGATTGCTCCTTTTGTATCTCGATCGTCAAGGGGGCACACTGGGTTTTTAACAGGCTTCCTGCTTCTAATGTACTTAAAAAACATTTTGGTATAAGCTAGGGTGTGACTCATGGGATTAGAACAAGGAGTTCTTAAATAAAGGAGTCAGAAGGGGGGTTACAAGGCTATTACATGGAGGTTGTGAGGTTATTACAAGGGGGTTGCACCCAGTCAGTCCTGAGCATGGTGGGCTCTATGCCTGTGGAGGTGCTGACTCTGTGGATGCTCCAACCCACAGGTGTTGAGAACTCACTGGCAGCCTGCTCCTCTCCTCCCAATGCCTCCCACCTGCTGCAGTCAGCTGTTCCATGTCATGCAAGAGAGCCTGAGAGTGGGAAGAGGAGTGGGTGGGCCAGAGTGGGCACAGAAAGAGGCCTTGAGGAAGGAGTGAAGTAGGAACAGGGGCCGGGGCTAAACAGGGTCTCAGAACCCCTGGAGAATGGAAGATACCAATGTCTGTTGGAAAAATCAATGTATTCAGAGGTAAATGTAGCATATAAACAAGGTGGATAAACAAGAGGCTGTCGACTGAATCCCCTCCAGCCATTCTGCAATCCTGCTTCACCTCGAGCATTTAATAGGGTTAAATCTACACTATTATAAAAGGAGAGGCATCCATTATGCCATCTGTCAAAGAGAACATTTGAGAAGACTTGAGAAGTTTCTAGGGGGAGGCAGGCCCCCAACCCCCCCTACAGCTCTGCCCCTTCCGCTGAGGCCCCACTCCCACCATAGGGAGGGTGGGGCAGGAGCACATCAAGCATGCACCTCTCCCCACCACGGGGAAGGGAAGGGTGCATAAGCATACCCGGAGCAGTGGGGAGGTAAGAGGATGCATGGCCCCGGCCCCAACCCCAACCTGCCCTCAGGTGCAACGGGGAGGGAGGAGACCCCAGAGTCTGAGCCAGCCCAGACCTCCCCTGCCCCGGAGCAGTGGGAAGGGAGGCAGCCACGGAACCCAAACCAGCCCACGCCTCCCTGATCCTGGGAACAGCAGGAAGGGAGGAGATTATGTGTCACAACAGGATGGGTAATGAATGCTAGTACAGTGTTTCTCAACCTTTTTTTATAAAGTAGCCCTTTAAAAAATATCTCTATCTATCTATCTATCTATCTATCTATCTAAGTACCCCCAGTACGTACAGTTTTCAGACACACAAACATTTTTTCTACCATTGCAACACATTTGTTTAAACAGCTCAATGGTAGCTGGGCTGGTGATGCAATTTTTGGGTGTAAATAGTACAAAAATAATAAAGTGCTGTAAATCTTAAAACAAAAATTCAGTTTTCTCCAAATTTCAGTTGTGTTGATGTACCCCCTAGACTTCTCTCGAGTACCCTAAAAGTACTCATACCCCTAGTTGAGAAACACTGTGCTGGTGTGTATATATATATATAAAATCTGTTTTAAGTGATAAAGTAGGATTGCACTCAGATTTACTGATAGAAATGTAGCCGTGTTAGTCTGGTGTAGCAGAAACAAAAAACAGGACTATGTAGCACTTTAAAGACTAACTAATAAACCATCCTGTTAGTCTTTAAAGTGCTACATAATCCTGTTTTTTTCTCAGCTATACTATGTGAAAGGGACTGCCAATACAAAAAGTTTGAGAACCACTGGATTAATGATAGATATTGGGAGTGGCAAGAGATCCTGTCAGGAAATGTGGGAACCTAGCTGGGGTGAAGAAGTAAGGAAGGACTTCCAAAAGTCACACTAAGTAGCCTACCTATTTCTGCACTTATCTGAATATAATGGAGGTTCAATCGCCTCTGGTTATTTACAGTTTGATCCCTTATATGTATGCATATGGGTGAACCCAGAGCCCGCATCCATCCATCTACAGCAGTGTTACTCCAACGTCTGGACGGAGTCCGGTCCTTTCACACGGCAAGCCCCCTCAGAAATTGGAACACGTTGTTTATTCTGAGAGGCCAAGCGGGGCGTGGGATGGAGGCGGACAGCTCCCGACACCCCAATAACTCCCACTTTGAGAGCCCCTGATCTACAGGCTCCGGTGTGGAGAGAGCAGCAAACAGTGACTCTGTCCACAGGCCTCCGGCGTGCGGCAGGAGGCTGAACCCTCCTAGAGAGCACAGCGCTCCCTGCTCCAGTGCACCGACCCTGGCCCTTCCTAGCCCCTGGATAGACCCGAGTGGCTCCCAATCAACACACCCGCCTCCAGCTCCCGAGCGCTGCCCCCCGCGCTCCCCCCAGGGCCCCCTCTCACCGAAGCGCATCCAGTCGTAGTCGCTCAGGCAGTCCATCTTCTGGCAGAAATCCTCCAGCACGCTGGCGGGCATGCTGTGGAGGTACGGGGGCTGGGGGGCGCCCCCCGGCGGGGGCTGGGCCATGGCTTCACTGCCCCGCGCCGCGTCCCTCTCCGCCTGGTTCCCGCCCGTGGGCAGCAGCGGCTCCCTCCCGGGGGCTCTCTCCGTCGCAGCCTCCCGGCCACCTGTCTCCTCCCTGCACCCACGCGCCGTTTCTCCGCCCACACTGCTCACCAGCTTCCTCCTCTCCGGGGGCCGGCGTTGGCAGCCTGCCCCCCCTATCAGCGGCGGCCCCTGGTCCGGAGCGGATGTAAACAGTGGTTCCCGCCCGTGGGCAGCAGCGGCTCCCTCCCGGGGGCTCTCTCCGTCGCAGCCTCCCGGCCACCTGTCTCCTCCCTGCACCCACGCGCCGTTTCTCCGCCCACACTGCTCACCAGCTTCCTCCTCTCCGGGGGCCGGCGTTGGCAGCCTGCCCCCCCTATCAGCGGCGGCCCCTGGTCCGGAGCGGATGTAAACAGGCAGGGAGACTCTGCCAGCCTCATTCACAGGCGCTTCCTGCCTGGGTGACATCAGCCGCCTCCTGTGGCTGGCTGCTGCGTTAGATCTTCTTGGGGAGTGTGAGTAAAGGGCCACATCCCTGCACGTCACTGGCAGCTCGGTTCCAGTCACAGGACAGAGGCAGTGACCTAAAATGTAAGTCAACCTAGCACCTCACCCAGGGGTGAAAAATTCACACCCCTGAGGCGAAATCTAGACTACGGGGCTTTACTGGAAAAAGCTACGCAAATTGAATTCCACCATTTGTGTAGTCTTTTCCCATCACTTTTGCGGAAGAGGCTTTTCCGCCATTTGGCCCAGTCTAGACGAGGCCAAGTGGCGCAAAAGCCTCCTCTTTCGGCAAAACCCTTATGCCTCGTGAAACGAGATATACAGGGGTCCCCGAAAGAGCGTGTTTGCTCTTCCACAAAAACCCTGTAGTCTAGACTTAGCCTAAGTAGTCTACACTACAGAGAAGATGGAAGCTGCCGCTGTCAATCTTCCTGGGTTCAAATTACCAGGTCTAGTGAAGACACTAATTCAAACTGAGAGGGGCACTCTGGTAGATGCCGATAGTCCTGCTTCCACGAGGACTCCCTTCAACTTCCTGCAGTGTGGACAGCACCAAAAGTCAAGTTAAGATACTTCAACTTCAGCTACGCAATTAACGTAGCTGAAGTTGCGTATTTTAATTCAATCTTATCCTATAGTGTAGACATACCCTGAAGCACTTTGCAGCAAGTTAGTGATTTTGTTAACACTCTTCGGGTACATCTACACAGCAACATTATTTCAAAATAACTAGCATTATTTAGAAATAACAGTCTGTGTCTACACAGCAGGAAGTTATTTTGAAATAATGTTGAAACATAGTCAAGCTGGAGGACTTGTTACTCTGATTCCTGTAACCCTCATTGTACCAGGAGTAAAGGAAGTTGGAGGAAGAGTGCTCTATTTTGCTTGTGGAGCACGGCTGTGCGAGTAGGTCCGTACGCTGCCACTCCCCCAGTGGAGTGGGAAGGGGCAGGGAGGAAAAGGGGACACCAGCAGAACCCGAACGTACGTCGCTCTGCAGCACTCCAGTCGAGCTCTGCACCAGTCTCTGCCAGGACTCTGGTAACAGCTCCCAGGAGTGGCTCACCAGCTCCAAGCAGTGCCCCTCTCCCTCCAGCAGTGGTGACGGCTGCCTGTGGAGGGAGGAGGCTGGGCTGGTGGTGCACGGCGGAGGCAGTCTCACAGCGGGAGGGGAGGGCCACGCAGTGGAGGGAGGGGCTTGCCAGATGGTGGTGTGTGCTGCATGGGAACTTGGAACTCTGGACACTGCACGCCATTGGCAGCGGCCCTGGCTGCCCGCACAAAGCACCAAGGGAGCCGCTTATGTGCTGGGTGGAAGCGGGGAGTTGCTGCTGCGCTACGCTAGCATTGGGTATCTTTAAATCTACGACTGTCCTGGGAAAAAAGTGACGTATGGTCACCATATCCCTGCGGGACACCTTGGACTGCCTCACGGCACGGAACATAGTTTAAGAAATGCTGCTATAAAGCAAACTAGTTTATTAACAGTAACTTAAACAGACAGTCATAGTATCCCCCTGCAAAACATTACATAAGTTCATTCAGGTACAGGTTGGCTTAATAGACTGACATAAAAGTCAAGGTCCCAAACCTATAAAAAGAAGGGACTTCACTACAGGTAAGGTACAGAGATGCACAGGCTACCACACCAGATTCAGAGGAATGGATCTACAGCAGGGATGTCACAGACAAGATACATCAGGCCAACAAGGCAAAGACATAGGATTCCAGGGTATAGGTGAGAAAAGGACTGATCAGGAAATGACACCTGGAACTATGGAGTTTGGATCTTCTTCTGTAGATCCCTTGAAGTATTTGCTAGCATGTGGAGTATGCTGCCATCAGGAAGGACAGTATCCTCTCTTGGATGCAGCAATCTTTTATGCTTTCGTGTTACTAGGCAGAACACACCTGACGTAACCCACATTGTTCCTTGCCCAAGAGAAAAAATACATCAGTTGTCCCAAGAAGAAAGATACCAATACGGTGGACAAAACAACAACCATTTACAAACAAGATGGTGACATGCCCAAACAAAATGGAACCTATAGTTTTTTTCCCCTGCAGAGGGTGCATTGACAAGCAGAATTAATCCCTGGGACAGCCAGCAGGAGGTGTTGCAGTGGTAAGCAAACTCCATCAGAGACTGAAATTATAAAAAAGGAAAACACCCCAACATGCACATTCCTCCCCATTAATTCACTGCACCTGAAGGAACAAAGTAAGCAGCCGTTGGACTTGGGGAGGAGGCTTGCTCAGGAAGACTGCTGAAAGTATGCAGTGAGAAAACTTTGTTTTGAATTTAACATAGTTTATTAAATTAAACACCAGTTGCACCAGTTCTTTATTTTCTTTTAGCAATTTGTGATTTTTATGCCTTATTACTTATACTCGCTTAAAATCTGTTTTTGTAAGTTAATAAACTTGTTTTATCTAATTCAATGTGTTTAAATTGAAGTGTCTGGGAAACTCCATTTGGGGGTGGCAAATTGTGTGCATATTTCTATTAAGTAACATACTATATTTAAAATGCATTGCTCAGGAGAGGGTGGGTCATGCAGGACATACATTTCTGAAGAGAAATCTAAGAAAAGTGTATTGGGGTCACCCTACAGCAGTGTTCTCTCTAAGCTGTGCAGCAGTACAGCTTCACAAGTGATAATCAGCCCCGCCCAGTCAGAAACACCATGCAGGGAGCAGACTGACTGGGCAGGGCTGATTAATCACTTGTGTAGCTGTGCTGCTGCACAGTTTAGAGGGAACACCGCCCTACAATATAGTTCAGGCTGGTGGCAGTCAGAGTGTAAGCCAAGCATGGCGGGTTGGCTACTGTTACAAGCAAATGTTCAGTGTGTGGCATGCATGCTGGAAGATTGTTTGTTTGTAAATGGCTCAGGTGAGAGATGTTTGAGCCACAGCATTGTGAGACACTTAAAGTTGTTGGGCGGGGATGACACAGCTACTCAGTCTGGATTGTATATGGTATGTTACACCTGAGCAATACCAAGTTTATAATGGTGCTGGGTCCACAGTCAGAGGGGGTCCACCTGATGGGTCTGCCATCCATTGCACTCACAATCTGCCCCAAGCCCTGCCTGTACTTGGCCTCTCCTCCCCTCCACAAAGCCCCATCCTCCTTTGCCTCTTTCCCATGAGGGTCTACCTGCTCAGTGGGAGCAGCACAGTGGGCCACAAGGGGAAGAGGCTAAGGCCTCTTGGGATACAGCACAACCAGAGCAGGTCATAGGGCTACTATATAGATGCCGGGATTTACAAAAAAATTCAGCCTTCCATCTGGGTCTGCAGCCTTTGAATTTGCTGTCTGAGAAGACCCATTATGTCCTCATACTGTTCTCTCTCTTTATCATGCTTGGACTCCTGGGCCTTTTTTCTGTATTCGGTCTTTCTCTCTGCTGTTGTTCACGTTGGTCCTCCAAGCCCTTTGTTCATGGTCTGATGCAAAGCTGTCTTGCAGGATCTTACAGAACATGTTCTCTCTAGTCCTCTTCTTTCTCAGCGTCAGGTGGTCTGTAGGTGTGGTGAGATCACCCACAAAACCGCCATGCCAGAAACTGCTGATAAAAACAAACAGATGTAAATTGTATTACAGTCAGAAGGGAAATATAAGTTTCAGAACTCCCTTCCCATTGCTTTGGTAGTTAATATAGAGGCACCGCTTTGCTCGTGTGTTAGCATCCTCCTCTTGACTTCACTGGTTTGGACCAAAGAAAGGATGGGAGTCTGTACAATTGGAACAGCAACATTGTGGCTGTGTCTAGACTGGCTAGTTTTTCCGGAAAATCAGCCGCTTTTCCAGAAAAACTTGCCAGCTGTCTACACTGGCCGCTTGAATTTCCGCAAAAGCACTGACTTCCTACTGTGAGAAATCAGTGCTTCTTGCGGAAATACTATTCTGCTCCCGTTCAGGCAAAAGTCCCTTTTGTGCAATGCTTTTGCACAAAAGGGCCAGTGTAGACAGCTCAGATTTGTTTTCTGCAAAAAAGCCACAATCACGAAAATGGTGATCAGGGCTTTTTTGCGCAAAAGTGCGTCTAGATTGGCACAGACGCTTTTCCGCAAAAAGTGCTTTTGTGGAAAAGTGTCCGTGCCAATCTAGACGCTCTATTCCGAAAATGCTTTTAATGGAAAACTTTTCCATTAAAAGCATTTCCAGAAAATCATGCCAATCTAGACGCAGCCTGCAAGAGTTGCTAGTGAAGAGGAGATCTTTCATCCGCCTGCTTTTTGGAGCTCCACTCCTAGGCTATGTCTACACTGGCACGTTCTCATGCAAAAACTCTTTTGCGGAAGAGTTCTTCTGCCAAAACTCTTCCAGAAGAGAGCGTCTACACTGGCATGTGCTTTTGCACAAGAGCATCCATGCCAGTATTGACGTTCTCTTGCGCAAGAAAGCTCTGATGGCTATTTTAGCCATAGGGCTTTCTTGTGCAAGAAATTCATGTTGCCTGTCTACACTGGCCTCTTGCGCAAGAACAGTTGCGCAAAAGGGCTTATTCCTGAGCAGGAGTGTCAGAGTTCTGGCGCAAGAAGCCCTGATTTCATACATTAAAACGTCAGTTTACTTGTGCAAGAACACACGACCAGTGTAGACAGGAAGCAAGTTTTTCCGCAAGAGGGGCCGCTTTTGTGCAAGATCGCGCCTGTGTAGACACAGCTCTAGATTAGTTGTCAGCCAGAGCTGAAAGGCCCAATCTGGCATGCATGGATGTCACTGGCAAATACACTAAGTAAATTTGCTTGTTGCCTTTTATTCCTTTACATTTTTAAAATAAATAGTTAGTGTGGGTATACTGGAACAACTTTTATAATGGGGGTGCTGAAAGCCATCGAACCAAACTCTAAACCTTTTGGATGATGGAAACCACTTCATACAAGGGGGTGCAGTCCAGCATCTTTGGCTTACTGCAACTTCAGCTTTGGAGAAGATTGGCATGGCACTGCTCTCTCAGCTCCAGCCAAGTGAATATAGGCTTCCAGGGTAGGGCTCCACTAGTACTAGTAAGAGTGTAGTACCAGTGTAGACAAGGTACTGGTGTTTTTAACACAATGCTGCAGGGTCTTTTTAAATGTTGGAACCTGCTGACACGTTGTCTATACTACAATTCAACATGGAAGCTTCATAATAGCAATGGAAGGGAGTTTTAGGGAGGAGAAGCTTAATGTAGACATAGCCTTTGGAATGAGTTAGTTATATTTTGTAAACTGGTGACTTCGTTTCGGTAGTTTTGCAAAGTATAAATTTATGGTTGATTTAAAAAAATCTCTAGCATACAAGAATATAGGCTAAAAGGTACTTGATAAACACACACAAGAAAACTAAAAAATAAAATCCATCAAGTTAATATGTATTTATGTATTGTGGTGGTGAACAAAACTCAGTCCATGCACAATGTTTTAAGAAAAAAATAAACCAATATTTACAAAAAATGGAAGATACACTTAAATATTTACAGCATGGCTTCGTATTCTTACTCATTTAGTTTTACAGCAGTTTTCCTAAAATGTATATATTTTGTATCATTGGAAATAAATGTTCAAGATTAAACAATGGTAAAATATTATGCAAAGATCTACCTCTTATCTCACATAGTACTTAAACAAGGGGTGGGGAACCCTATGACCCACAAGCAGAATCTGGCCCCTGACTTAATTTCATCAAGCTGGAAGCCTCAAGAGTTGGTGCACCTGCCTACACTCCCAGGCCTGGAGTGTGATTGCCAGATCACCCTGTTGCAAGGGAATCCCCTAGCCTTAATGCCCTCACTTCCCATGGGGCTGGAGTGTGGCATGCAGAGTTAAGTGTGAGTGAATGGTGGGTTTTGTGGGAGGTTTTTTGCTTCCCATGTTGACAGCAGGTGAGTAGTTAGGGTATTTTTGCTTGTGTGTGGCCCCTGATTATTCTGTGGGTTAGTGGACCCTGACCAAAAATGGTTCCCTACCCAACAAACCTCTGGTAAATTCCTACACATATGTTATTTGCACCCTTGTATCAGTGTTCATCCTAGGGATGTAAAATCTTGTTTATTCTGTTGACTAGTTAACTGTTACATTTAACTGGTTAGCCAATTAAACAGGATCCCACAGGTGGGTGGCCCCAGTGTGGCACAGCATGGCAGATCCAGCCAGGCTGGAGAAGCCCCACATCCACGCTGCCAGTTAACTGGTGATAAGAATGACAAAGGTAACTTTTTGTATTTGATCAAATTCTGCTGGTTGAAATGACAAACTTTTGAGCTGCACAGAACTTTCTCTTGGGTGTCAAGCAGAGTGCCCGAGCTAAATACAAGCTGGGACAGATTGTTAAGCATAAAGGTTCATACGTGCTACAGCTGACCACTTGGGCAATTAAGGTTAACAAGCAGTAAGCTGTATTACAAATTGTTGTAATGAGCCACAAAACCTGTTGGTGTTAACTCCAGGGTTTTAGTATCTAGCTGAATTATGAATGCAAGTGCTCTCCCCCCCATTCCATACCTTTCCTCAAGCCCCCTCCTCTGAACATGTCTGATCCCTGCTCTTTCCCCTCCCTCCCAGAGCATCCTGACCACCATGAAACAACTGTTCACAGCAGGCTGAGGCAGTGGAAAAAGGGAAGTGAGAGGAGTTTGAGGTGGCCAGCTGGTAAGAGGTGCTGGGGGGGGGGAGGGGGGTAAGAGAGGAACTTGGCTGCTGATTGGTGCTGAGCACCTGCTAATTTTTCCCTCTGGGTGCTCTAGCCCCAGCACATTCATGGGGTCAATACTCATCTGCAAATTTTGCATCTGTTGTTTTGGCAGGGTATGGTGCTGCTTGGAGCTGGCATGTCCTAGTATGTGTCTTCTTCTGGCCTTCAAACAGCCCTCCAACCTTAAAAACTCAGTATCAGAAGGAAGCTTTCCACAAACCAGGACATATCAACTAAAAGTGATGCATGGCAGTGTTACATGTAAATTAATAAAAAGGTCCAGCAACAAGTAAAAACATCCAGACACTTTTTAAAAAGCGTTTTAACCTAAGTGTTAAACCCTTTATTGTGATAACCCTGATGCAGATACACAAAAGCAGGGAGAAGGGGAAGAAAACTCTTTTTGCCTATGCACACAGACTTTCCATTTATTTTAGTGAGCTTTGGATCAGGCTACCCCATCCACAACCATTCTACATCCCCTAGTGTTACACCTGTATGATCTGAACCAGGGAGCAAATTTTATCTTGGCGTAAAGGGGTAAAATTCCCTGAAGTCAATGGAGTTATACACACTTATGCAAGTTCCATTTAGGTAACTACAGTCTTCAAACTAATTCAAATTTTTCTTTGATGTGACATCCTCGCTAATGATAAGGACATTGTCTGTATTTATAATCACCACTCCCCCCAAGAAAATGATCATGGGTAAGTCAATGTTATACCACTATATCAGAAATGCATTGTTACAGTTGTTCTGAAAAAGTCCAAGAGCAAGATTCTGTCCTCAGTTCCATCCTACAAGGCCACTGATGTCAACAGAACCGCATAAGTTTAACTGCACACAATTGAGTCTCCTATGTTTAAATTGAAACATCATAAACTTGGTGTTTGTTGCATACTATTTGATCTCTTGAATCTGGCTCTTGCCATCCTAATAAGTTTTGTGTATTGAAACCAAATGAGAGCAAGCACCTTTCAGAGCATGAAATCCTGACACCTACTCAGCTCCTGAAATGTGTTTCAACGTGGTTAATACCGCTTACACACAGTAGTTTCACAGTGGTATCTTCTTCTGCACACAGGAGTCTGGAATGAATGATGTTCATTTTAAATCAGGAGCTTCATTCCTTATTTTGCTTCTTTCCAGAGACAGCCGTTGAAGATCCTTCTCAATCTTGGGATGATTTTCCAGGTCTTCATATAATGACTGAACAATATCCAATTTCCTGTAGTCCACTGGTTTTACCAGACTGCGAACAACCTGAAGACATCTCTCTTTTAGACTGAACACTGCAAAGAGAGATAGAAGATTAACATTTATGTAATTTGACATTTCAAGCTTCTCTAGCATTCTCCAGCCAAATATATCAAAAGTATATCACAAACATTCATGAATGTAGCCTCCAATATTTGTGAAATAGGTATTACTTTTCCTAGAATGTGGAGAAATGAGACCCAGTGAAGTTTGACATATAGTCACTGACAGAGAGAAACAGAACTCAGATCTTCTGACTCCCAGATGTGCACCCTATCCATTGGATCATTAAAAAAAATCCCACAAGATACATTAGAAATGAAGAGAGGAGGGAGGCTTAAATAATGTCAAAGGCCTGTAAATAACTGTACTCCAGAGAAATCAATGTTTTTGCTTTTTCAAAATAATAAAATATTATTAATTGCTTGAATATCTGAGTCATACAGACCCATCCTTTTACTAATATAGAATAAGGTCTCTGGTTTTAGCTCATTACATTTCCCTTTAAATTCTACAGATTGAACCTCTCTATTCCAGCAACAACCATGGTCTTAGTTCGCCACATGTTCACTTATCATGGGGGTGGCTAAGTTTCCCATGGTCCCATAAAGTTTTACAGTCATCTGTCCTGGCTCTCAATGTTCTGTGCTGTTATTTAGCCCTAATTTACCCCAAATGCCTTCCAATAGTCCAGTAAGCTGTGGACGTGTTGGTAATGCTACTAGACAATATTGACCTCCAGTGCTTTGGCAAATTCTCTGGTTCGGCACCAGTCAGGTCCCAAAGGAGAGAGGTTCAACCTGTAGCAGATTTAACTCTTTTCATAATTTACCTGGAAGTGTGATATTTGCAAACACAGGCTGGCCATTTATATTGTGAGTAGGCACAAACATTTCTGTCTGATTGACAAGAAGTCCATCATCTGTTTCTGCATCTCTGAACAGCCAAAGATGTTCTGTAACAAAACAGATAAAGAAGCTGTATATTAGGGATGTAAAAACTGATAAGCAAAAGCTTATAGGTTAATGCTATAGACTACACACACATTCCTCCCACCACTTGCCAGTAAATTTTTTATCAGGCTGGCCAGCAGCCCAGCTCAGTTCTGGATACGGGAGCTCAGACCACCACCTGGACAGGGGCTGCTGCCACCCTGAACTGCTGCCTCTTTATCAGCAGCACAGGGTGACAGCACAAGTCCACAAGGGGGGCTGGGTTTTAAACTGGCTCCCCTCACAGACCAGGTCCCACGTGGCACCTCGCACTGCTATCTCTGATACAGTGGAAGCAGCACGGAGTGGCAGGTGTCTTCTCAGGAGTGAGGCCAGAGCACACTGACTGCTGGCCCTGCCCCCCAGGGACTACAGAATAGTGGACTAACCAATAAGAATTCATGAGGTTATGCGACTATTCAATTAACCAATATTTAACATCCCTGCTGTATATCTAATTGTTTTAAATGTTATCTTTCAATTGTATACAAATATGAAGATGGTAACTTATTTTAAAGTTAAACTGATGAGGCCAGAGCACACTGACTGCTGGCCCTGCCCCCCAGGGACTACAGAATAGTGGACTAACCAATAAGAATTCATGAGGTTATGCGACTATTCAATTAACCAATATTTAACATCCCTGCTGTATATCTAATTGTTTTAAATGTTATCTTTCAATTGTATACAAATATGAAGATGGTAACTTATTTTAAAGTTAAACTGAGCTTTGGAATTAGTAACTACAGGCAGTCCCCGGGTTACGTACACGATAGGGACTGTAGGTTTGTTCTTAAGTTGAATCCGTATGTAAGTCGGAACTGGCGTCCAGATTCAGCCGCTGCTGAAACTGACCGCCAGTTCTG